AATTAGTAATATTTAAGGGTCACATATCGAAGCTGACGCTAATGTGTTTCGAGTGCTAATACGTTTCAAATACAAACGTGAAGACCACATTAATGTGTTTGAGGTACAAATGTTAGGATGACAATAATGTAAATGAGAACCTAATATGTTCCATGTAATAGTGTTAAAATGGTACTAATTTATGTGAAGTATCATTTTGATGAGTACACTAATATGATTCATGCACTAACTAATATAGGACGAGAACTATTATATATGAAGGATTAATGCTTATGCAGTACTAATATGTAAAAACTTCTAATGTGAATATTGCACTAGTATGTGAAGAGTCCTAATTCAAGATAGATAACACTAAAGTGTAAGAAGGATCAGCTCCCCAGTAGTAAAAAAGTGTATGAGGAACAAATATGTAAATAGTAAAAATGTGCAAGGAGCACTAAAATGTATGTACTAGTATATAAGATGTTATAATGCTAAGATGACACTAATATGTAAGTATTATTAATATATAAGTAGTCCTAAGATGTATGCAATACAAAAGTGCATACAGCACAAGTATTTAAGAAAAACCAATGTCTGTAAAGTACTATTATCTAAGAAGTACTAGTATATATCAAGTACTAATGTGTAAGTAGTAACATAGTGTAGAAAGTGTTAATCAGTAAAAAGCACTAATATGTAAGGAATAATATAATGTATGAAGCCCTAATATATTTGAAGCATTCATGAGTAAGGAGTCATAGTATTAAAATCGCACTATTACTCAAGAAATACTAACATATGAGGAATGTCAATATGTAAGAATTATTACCATACAAGCAATACTAATATCTAAGACGTCTTATTGTGGATTGAAAATAATGTATAACTATTCTTATTATATGTGAACCTCTAATGTGAACATGATAATAGCACACAAGTAGTACTAATGTGTAGGAAGAATTAACATATGAATATTACTAATATGTAAGTAGTACTAATTTGTGTGAAGCAATAACTCGTAAGGTGTCATAACTTATGTGAAGTACGAATATTTTTTAAGTTCATATATAAGCTGGCGCAAATGTGAAGACGATACTAATGTGTAAAGAGCACTAAAGTTTGTGAATTATTAGTGTGAAGAAGACAGTGTACTTGAAGAACAAATGTGAAGTTGATACTAGTATAATTATGATACTAATGTGTGTGAAGTATCATTATGAATAGTACACTCATATGTAAGTATTTTTAATGTGAGGATTATAATAATGTAAATTTTTTACAAATATGAGTATTACACTAATATTTTAGGAGTCATAATGTATGTGAAGATAACATTAATATATAAGAAGTATCGCTATCCTTGTAGTCACAAAGTGTATGAAGTACTAATGACTGTTAAGTAATAATAGGTAAGTAATAATATATATATGAAGGACTAATATGTAAGGAATGATATAGTATATAAAGTACTAATAAGTATGGAGTAACATAGTGCAAAAAATATAAATCAGTAAGAAATAATATATTGTATAAAGTATGAATGTGGAGACCATATTAATAAGTTTGAGGTACCTGTGTGAAGAAGATACTAATATGTTCGATTTAATAATATATAGCGAGCAGTAATATGTAAATGTCATTTATGTATATAAAGAACTAATATGTAAGGAACACTAATATATAAGTAATAATAAAATGTATTGTGCTCCAATTTCTAAGTAATACTAAAATGTATGAAGAACTAATATAAAAGAAGTAATAACGTTTAGGAAATGCTAACCACTAAGGAGTCTCAATGTATATGAAGTATTAATATGTATGGTGCATTAACATGTAAAGAATAATAAAATATATGAAATAGTAATGCATATGAAGTAATAATATCTGATTAGTTCTATTGCGTAGGTAAAAGTAATATTTAAGTTGTCAAATCGTGTATTAAGAACTATTATATAAGCAATAATATGAATACTATATATGTATGGTGCACCAATGCTAAGAATATATTAAAGTTTGTGGGATATCAAAGTGAAACAGATACTAAAGTGCCCCACATGCTAATAACAAAGCAGCGCTAAAATATATGAAATGTTTATATGTGTAATATCCTAATATATAAGGAGTGTTAATGTTGAGATGACACTGAAATACAAGAAATTAAAATGTGCGTATGGTACGAGTATTAAGGTGATTCTAATGTTTGTGGAACATTAATATGAAGAACATACATGTGTGTGCGGATTATTTCGGTTAAAGATTTAGGATTTTGTCTTATGAAATTTTTTTTTATAACATAAGAAATTATTGGAGAATATAAATATGAATTGTCTCAATACACATGTTTTCTATACATATGCAGTACATATTACATAAGAATATATTATAATTATATGAAATATATTCGTTTGTGTTCTATGGAAAACAAATATATATGTTTATTTTTGATTTATTAATAAGTTAAAAATATATATATTTTTTGATTAATATTTAATAACAATTTATATAGATAATTTTAATTCTATACTTATATAAACTCTTTATATCCATGATTATGTGCATAGTATTTGTTACATTTTTGGAGATTTCTCATGCACTATATCTAACTACACAAACTTTAACAATGTAATAAAAACAGATGTCATAAATGATAAATTTTTGAATACAATGAATTCATTAATTATTCTTGTTGTGTATTATTCAAAGGTTAATTGTCTCAAAATTTTGTATAAATTTACCTCTATTTCTTTGAAGATTCTTATTACAATTAAAAATACATTTCAACAAAACAATAAAAAATAGTTAGAGATTGTTTATTTAAACACTATTTACAATGTATATATTATATTTAAGAAATAAAAAACAATAATTATGTTATATGTATTACTGTCTACTTAGACATGTGTTATTATATATAAAACCTTATAACCTTCAAAACTGATTTGGAGATATTCACTATTGAATGTAAATTATATATTATTATCATAATAATATATAAAAATATATATCATTTTTATTAAGGTAATATTTATGAAATAATAATATACCAAACATATGATTTATCACGTATTATTTTAATTGCAATGATTATTTATATTATGCTTTTGATTGATTAAAATATATGATATTCGTGGAAATTGTTACCCGTTCTCCAAAACATATAATTAAACTTATTCGAATGTAAGGACATAAGTTTTTAAATAAAAATATATTGTATTTATTACATAATTTATAATTATACCTTTAAACAGAATTACATATATTACACAAATTGTTATGAAATGTGAAGACATAAAATGGCAAAAATTTAAAGTGGACAGTTGTTTTATATAAAATGTTGTAAATATATTTTATAAGTTATTTTATTTCGATGATTTTATTATTTATACGAAAAAGGATTAAAATAATATAACCTCTATTAGTTCAAATACATAATGTACAATAAATATAATCATAATAATCTATAAATCTATTTTTTCAAAAATGTCTTATAACCCCTGTTTTGATAGCTACATTTTTACTGTAATATATACCATAATACTAAATTAATGATTGTTTTTAGAGCTCATAAGTTTAATGTTTTTTGTATTAAAACGATTTGAGTAATATATGTGATCAAAGTAAATGTACACCCTCTATACATACAGATTGTTACAAGGTATGTATATACTGGTTCATGTGTCATTGTACAGGGTTTGTGTCTTTAAAATAATATATATGTGAGATGAAATCATTTTATCCAACCAAATATATATAGTTTTTCATTATATCAACTTTTTATTCATTATCTTATTAATGCATTTTTTTATTTAATTAAACATCAACTTTATTACCTCATGAATATATAAAATACAGGATTGGGTGTCTTAAATAAGTGTGTATAGGTTTTTTTTATACCATTAACAAACAAAAGTTTACTTTTTATTTTTATATTCATTATTTTTTAAATAAAAGTTTAATAATTTATATTCAATAAAAATCATAATAATATATAATTATAAATTTAAAGTATTAACAATTTTTTAATGAGTGTTAAATATATTGCATGCGTGGAATCAGGAACCCACGTATATTTTAGATGAAATTGGGCCTTCCTTGGCATTATAATGAATTTATATTTTTGTATAAAATATAAATTTATCTTTTACCCAGACATTGTACTTTAAAAAGACTTTAATATATACATTATTTTTGTTTTTTATTGAGTTACGTGTTGATTGCATTAATTATTTTATCTCTACATTTATATTATTATAAAAACATACATGAGGATTTTTCTCATTTATATAATATTTGACAATATACATATTAAATATAATTTTTTATATTGTTTTAATTATATTTATAATATTACTTCTAAGTGAATGAAAAATTTTGTAATGGAGTTTTATTCATATGATTTTAATAATTTATATAAATATAGCAGATTATATTTCTTTTGGCAAGAAAAATACAGTTCTTTTTTTGTTTCATATTAAGTCCATGGGAGATAAACATAGAATTATATAAATCGTAAAAATTTACAACATTAATTAAATATCAACAAACAAAAAAACAAATTGGAATAAAAAAAAACCATTAAAATAAAACTAATTATAATATAAAAAATAAACAATATGTCAATATTCATGAATTTCTTGAACTAATAAAAATAATATGTAAAGAAATTTCCCATATTAATATTGTAGATTTTGGGAAACATAACACACTTTAAATGTATATAATAAGAATTATGAAAAGATGTAAAATTAAAGTATGATAGTTATTTTCTAAGTATTAAATTTCAAAATCAACTTTAAGTAATATGTAACGCCATAGGACGTTACATGTGTAATTAGTTCGGATAAAATATATTTAATAATATTCATAAATTGCAGTTATATTGTGCATTACTATATTTTGTATTATTATTTAATTTATATATCAACTTGTTAAGTGAAAAACACTCAATATTATATTATTACAACTTATATTCAGTTTACATAATAAATATTCTTCCATTTATACATTAAATGATATTACTACGTATAATTATACAATACGTTGTATTTCCCATCATTTGAAGCGTATCTGGATATTTCAGATGATTCCAATGAATTCCATTCTTCATATATACTATTGCATGAATTTCTTTTCCTTTTTATCATGTTGCTCAAGTATGAACCATATGGGGTAAGCTAATTTATAACAAAGAAAATTTATACATTGAGAATATAGTTCTTTACACTATCTATTCTTTAAGTATTTAAAGAATTATTATATAGTATATAGATATTTAAATTATGTCATTATTAACCTTATATATAATAAACCAAAGAAAGGATAATACTAATATAATAAAAATTGGAATTATAAGGGGAACTACAATATTATTTTTACAATTGTGTAATTCTTTTGATATACATGTTTCTCTTGGTTTTATATATGTTTTTGGACTATATTCATCTATAATTCTTTTTATTTCGTTACAGAAATCATTATTGCCACTCGGTTTACATTGATCTTTTATTAAATTATAACTTTTATAGTTATCATATAAAATTTTGAGTTTTTTCAACTCCTCATCAGAAATAGTATTTTCATAATTATGCAGGATACTATATGAAAAATTTTTATCATTATATAATTTGATCAATTCTTCATGAAACTTTTTTATAATACTAATGTTTGTTTCCTTTTTTCGATGATATTTGTAAATCCAATAATACAAGTATTCAAAAGCAACTTTTTCTAACAAATTATAATGTTCATTATGTATTTTATATAAGTATCCCATAGATTTATTGCATATATATTCAACCTTTGAATTAAAAGCATCTGAATAAATAGTATTAATTTTCTTACAATCTTCACTCCAACGCATTTCTTCCTTTTTATGATCTACATTGCTTATAACCTCTTCACATGTAGGAAATTCATTTACTCGTCCATACTAAAAACAAATAATATATTGACCAAAGCTAGAAGTTGAATGACGATTTATATAACGCTCATTGAAAATAATGTAGGAAATTGTTGTAAGATTATAATTTTTATTATGATAATTAAAACTCACAATAGAACCCCCCATTTTAAACATGGTTATACCTACTTGCAGGTAATCAAAAAGAAATAATAATATTTATGAACACAAAATATCAATTTTTATAAAGAATTATACACAACATTGAGAAATTTTATTTACTCATTATTATTCCATTAATGGAAGAAAATATTTGAATTACATTATCATTAATTTTTATATTGACTAAAATATAGTAGAATTTGTATATGATATGCAATATATTTTATCGAAAATGCTAGAGAAAAAATAAAAAACACAAATATATTATTTAGATAAAAAAAATAATACCACTTACTTGAATATAGGACTAGATGTATCTTATTTTATCTATACAGTTCATGATTTTAAGTATTCAGAATGTGTTTCAGTGCTAAGAGCTTGTAGTACATATATATACTTATGGATTATTTATTACAGTTTATCTATTAGAATTAATTGTTCACAATGTTTTTATTTCATAATTGTGTCCTTATAAAATGAATATTTGATTTATTTGTCCTTTGATAAGGGTTAATAATTATATATTTTTTTAATTTATTAAAATATAAAATAATGTAACAAATGTTAATAATTATTGTTATAACAATAGATTAATTATTATTCTATATTTTAGGTTTTTTTTTTTTATCCCTAATAGTATTTGAAATATATACTAACAGTTTATATTATCATTTTTACATTTTAATAATTCTGTTGCTGTTGCTATATTTTCACATTTCATATTTACTACATTAGATGCACTTATTATTTTTTTTTCATACATATTAATATCATCTATTATTTTTAATTATATATATATTTAATATTATTAATTACGTTTTATATTCCTTAATTATAAACTCATATTTTTGTCAATATACATATTTATACGTTTTAATATATATCATTATACTTTTATCATTATATTATATAAAGAGATATGCAATTTCATGTATTATATTTCAGGGATATAGTTTAAATTATTAATATTTATACTATATTATGAGCCAAAAATATGTTAACTAGGTAAGCATATATTCGTTTATAATAAAATTTGTCATGCATCTTATAATTATTAGATTTGTAAAATATAAGAATATTCCTACATAACGTTTGAACCAGAAATATTTCATTAATTTCGTATAATGTATTTTAAAAGAATTCATGCATTATTTATATTAAATCAATAAAATGGACAACATATGAACAATAAAACCTGAACTATATATTAATGTTTCAATTAAAAATACACATTTAAATAATTTTACCCAACAAGAGAACAAGATGTATAAGGAATCATTTAATATCTTATATATTAAATTATTAATCAACTGACTATTTATATGTGCACTACTAAATTATCCTATATAATATATTGTTATTTTACTTATGACATATGTTTCAAAAGGTTAAATATATAATATTTATGCAAACAAACATACATTAAAATTATTCGTGCAATGTTCTTATAAACGGTAATATTATACACCATTTAAATAAATATAAAATAACATTTTGAACATTATTACGCTATTTTTTAAAAAATAACGCATCAATGCATTTATGAAAAATTAAATTTTTTGAAATTAAAATTTTTTTTAATTCTTATGTGAAATTTCTACTAATAATATGAATTATACAATTTCCCTACAAAATTTGTTAGTCTTTTAAACAAAGAATATTTTTTGAGTTATGTCTAAAATTATGTAATTAGGGAGAATAATATAATATAGAATATCTTTTATCATCTAAATCTATGTTATAACCTTCAAAATTATGCAATATATTTTTTTCTTCAAATATATTTTTCATCTTATTTGTCACAGTTTTTATTGTACCGCGAAGCCATGAAGAATATGGGGTGTACTAATCCATAATAAAAAATAATAGATATATTATGAATATATATATTATATTTTTGACAGCCTAATTTTTTATAAATTTATATAGAAAAACTAGATTGTAGTGTTAATATATATAAATAATATCATAATTTACCTTATACACTATAAACGTAAATATGCATGCTACGCACATTATTAAAAATGTAATAATTATAGAAACTCGTATTTTATTTATTTGGAAGGACAATGCAAATTCCGGCATATAAATCTGACACTTATGCTTTGAATTCAATTCCTGGAGTTCAGTTTTTATATTTTTTAATGCACTACAAAAATCAGAATTATCATTAGATATACATTCATTCACTTTTTTAGAATACATATCAGCACATTCCTGAAAACATAAGCATATATTGCGAAAGCAAGACTTAGTAGTAAAATTTTTTATATCATTAATCTTATTTCTCATATCATATATATGTTTCATGTTTTTCAATACATTTTCTGAAATATTTTCAGGATAATTAATGCATGCTTTAAATATAAAAGATGAATCCCATTCATTCAGTACTGATCTATATAATTGTTTGGCATAAGATTTAGTATTTTCATTAATAAGACTATGATATATCCAATAATATAAATATTTACAGACATGTCCTGTACTAATTGAATTCTCACTAACTAATATATCATATAAATATGACATAGCTTGAAAGCACATTGGGACATAACTGATACCAAATTCACCTGGAAATTTATTTAGAATACCCTTACATTTACTAGAAAAATCATGATCAAATTTAGTATGTTTGTGCTTTTCTATAATATTATTATATTCAGGGAAATGTTTTACAATTGTATACTAAAAAAAAAAAATTATGTTATTGTATTATACATAGTAATATGTTGAAAATATATTTATAATATATATGATAAATACAAAATACAAATATTATAATGTTGTTATTTATATTTCAGTGGTTTAAACTTACAATTCCTTCAACCATATTTAATTTAATTTTAATAATTCACAGGATAAATATATAAATAATAGTATTCATGAAAGAACGAGTGTTTATTATTATTAAAAAAGAACCATGATTTGAAAGATATTAATATTTTGTCTTTTATATTTGTGGAAATTATGTAAAACTGTTATTTATCATTATTTTCAATTCTCATATTTCTGACAAGATGGGATATGCCTTGACCTGGGATATGTTCTCTATAATTATAATTCAGTATTTATAATTGAGTTTTTATTGTTTAAAGTAAATTATTTAATATTTTGATGCATTATTCAGTTTTATTTTCAAATAAGTAGGTAATGGAATTTATATTTGTTATTCAGTAGCAATCATTATTTATTTTTTTTTATCAAGCATTTAATCCATAATATTTCATAAATATACTTCTACTCCTTTTTAAATGTATAATTTTAGTTTACATGATATTCATATATATAAAAGAAAAAATTATATGCTATAATTTAGTATATATTTATTGACTTCTTTATTGAATGTTATTATTATTATAATTTAACTTCGTATATATATACATCCATATTTAAATATATTTCTTTAAGCATAATATATATTTTTATATTCTACAAATTCATATATATATTATATGTAATATCATATCTAAACATGTATAAAAGCAATATATAAATCTTCTTTACAACTGACATGTTTTTCATCTGTTATTTTCATTTTACTGATATATTTATCTTTTATTGTTCTAACTCATATAACAACTTAATTATATAATAGTAGCATATAATATTCCATAAAAATGATGATTTAAAATGGATTAATTAATTTATTTACATTAAATAATTAATAAAATGTCATTTTTTATTACGCCCTTATACAGATTTATTGAGAATTATATGGAAATTTAATTTAGATATCCTAAATAATATAAATAAATGAGTTTTTTTTCGTGATATAGGTAGTATAATACAACAAAATTATACATTTTGACTAACAATGAAAAAAAAAATATTTTATATGTTATTGTTCTTAAAGCGTGGATTATAATACATTCTATATCATATTTTTTGTTTCATAACTGTCATTAAATGATAATTTAAGGACTTTATATATTGTATGTATTAATCGCAAAAATACTACAAAACCTATTGTATGTATATTTATAGAACATAATTTTTTCATTAAATTTATATTTTCTACTAATAATTTATTAAATACTAAATTATATTGATATAATTAAATATATAATGAGCTCGATCAATGTGAAATATAATATTCAATATATATTTACTTTTCAACTAAAGTATATTGTTATTTTTATCACATAACATATATGTTTCAATATAAGTATTATCCTATATATTATAAAATATATTATACTTTCAATTTTCTATGTAGTTTATATTGTTTAAGAAATTTGTTCATAATACAAGTAAACATAAAAAAGTTACAATTTATTGTCATTATAAATAACGCATGTTTTTATTTATATTATGTATTGATCAAATTTCATTTAATTTAATGTTATATATATATAGAAAACTTATTTTTCCTCACGAAAAGTAATTTAAGTTCTATATATAACATATATTCACAAACATTAGGAAAAATACAAATTTACTTGCAAAATTAATATTCCGAAAAAAGTACATTAAGAATAAATATATCTTAATATCATATAGAAACTAATATAAATAAATATATGATCAAAAAAACAAAAAAAATTGAAAAAAAATGGCTAAAACTAAAATCCTATATCCTTTTTTTTAATGTTTTGTTTTGTAAACGTATTGTTCTATCTTATTTTTAAATAGGGCATATACATGTTAAATTACAGTATAAGTACGTTATACATATTTTTCAAGGTCTTTTCGGAAGCATACTTATGAACATTTTAATTATCGCACAAGCTCAATAAAAATGTAATGACAATTTATTCACGGTTTAGGTAATTTTTAAGCAAGGTGTAATGGTATAAAATAATATGATAAAAATGTTATGTAATCAACATATTTATATTAATAAAATATATCATATGAAAATTAAATTTTATGCAAATATAATATATATATACTACTTATTATGAGGTCCTTGTAACTTCATGAAAATTTTCATACAATTCTTGTAAATACATTAAATATTGGATGATAGAAAAATAAGTTTTTTTTACTAGATTTAAAAAATATTTCATTATGAACTATGCTATTATAAAATATACTATAATAAAATTACTTTTTTATCGTACTAGCATTTTTTTTAATTTACTGTAATTTTGTATTAATTTTAGAGTTTCATATATTATTTAATTTTCCGATGTTTTCTGTTACGTTATAATTGTTCACAGTTGAATATTATATAGAGTTCCACATGTACAATAAGATTTTCACAAATATTTTCACTTTATATAAAACATTTTAAAAACATATCTTTAAAACAGTTATGTTAATTACCCTGTACTTATATTTGATTTCGAGAACACATGCAGATCTGTATCATAAAATGTGCTCATTATTCTCCATACCTTGTTGTTTTTAATAATAATATTTCATGTACTAAAAATTTGTATTAACATGTAAAGAATCATATATTTATTATTTTATCGTTCTCATAAATTTTATAAATATTTATTATGTGTAAAAATATATATATATAGAATATTATAAATAAGAGTTTATTCAATCCCTTTTATTAATATTCAATTAACCTAGATATTAAAGTCATATGTGACTTTAGCATTTATTTTATATTATTATATTTTTACATATACATTAATACATCAGAAAAAACAAATCGTTACAATGAGTGCCAATAGCATATGATATGTTACGTGTTGCGCTTTTGTTGTTCTTATATATAGGGGCATCTTGAGAATTTTGTACCCTCATGATCTCCTAAATAACTTTAAAACACTGTTTCAGTTATTTCCCCTATAACTAGTCTTCTTGAATTTGTTATTTTTGATTAAGTCACATAAATAAGAAGATTTCATGCAGATTATTCTAGTCAAACTATTCAATCTTTTCATATATATTGGAATTTCTGATAGTATTATTAAAAATTTGTAATTATTTTGTTCCTCATGTATTTTCATATGAATATATATTCCATATAAAATCCATTAATAAATATTGTTATCATGGTCAAAAATACTTTGATTGGACATAGTGTATCAAGTAACATCACGTATTTTATATATTATAGTCATAAAAAAATTAATTTTAAGTATCATTATTATAGATGTTGGTTGCATAATATAAGAAATCGTTATAACGTATTGGCGCGTCCTAAAATTCTTACTACTATATATGCAAATTGCATAATGATTTATGCTTAATTCGCTTTATTATTAAACTCTGAAATGTATAAGGTAATTTAAATTTCTACAACATTAAATAAAATATATATGAATATAAATAGCTTATTTTCCTTTTATATGCAATTTCAATTTATTATACATTCATTAAAACACACAGTAATATTCATAATATTACTATTTATAATGTCTTAAATATATCAAAAACTAATTATTTTTTTGATGTAATATATATACAATATTATTGTTCGAAACTAAAAATATAAAAGGAAACGTGTCTGCGCATATAATTGAAAATTATATAGTATATACTCTGTAATATATTATAAGTAACCTGATAATTTGAATTACATAATTTTTTTTTTTTTTTTTGTTTCGAATTCATCAAAGGGGACATCTGAAAATAACTGATATTTATAAAGAGTGGTTCAATTTTCCATATAAATATATTGCATATATATATATTACGTTCCTTCAAAAACTGTAAAAATTATGAAAAATATGTTAAGAAAGCTATGCTTAAATTATGTTGAATCATGAGGACATTTATTCTATTCTAGTATAAAATCAAGTTCTAATTAGGAAATATATAAATAGAGAAATATGTTATTGTATCTCATGTTGTTTAATAATAAAAAAATAAATAAATAATTTAAATGTATATGTATTTTCCTTAAATATTATTTTCATGTGTCATTTCTTCTATTATTTTGAATTTATTTTTATTTTAAAGCGATTTTATGATAATTCATTACCATGGCATTCATAATTTAATATATTCCATAGTTGTCACAATTTATCAAGTTAACGTAACGATATAAGGAGATATATAATTATATACATATATTTTAACCTTTTTTAAGATGATATCATTACATATATTAGCATTAATCGAATTACAATTCCATCTTGCACTTTATTTTTTATATGGATACATTAGTCACGTCCTAATTATATGTATGCTTGTTTTGTCTATTAAAAAAAATTACTACTTAGAAGACGTAAAATATAATATGCTTTTAAATTGTAAATAATGAAAATATTCTTGTTACTGTTCACATATATAAAAGAATGATAAATCGTGTACATATACTATAGAAATGCATTTTGAAATACATAAATACAAACGAAGTACACTATACAATATATCACTATTAGTATATAGAACATTAAAGGAAATTATTATTATATAATGTCATGCAAATTTATTTCTTCAGAATAATAAAATATATTATTTTATACATAAATTTTTTATGAATTTATTTTAAAGTTTATTTAGAATATAATTAGATGAATTTGTCTTGTATATATGTCATTTCTTGTGTGTAATTATAGCATTATGTTTTCAGATTTAGATATACGTAATTATTTTGCACAGGTAATGTATGTGTATAAATAATTTTTGAAGTAAATGTACATATACAAAATCATATATTAATAATTATTATTATTCATCTTTTGTATAAATGCTAAACAAACCATGAACCTATATAAACAGATTCATCCAATTACAGTAATCATACTGTTTTAAAATATAAAAATCGATTTTAACATGATAATTATGCGACAAATATTGTTATATGTATGTTAAATAATTCTAATAATGAAGAAGAAAATTAATCATATAATTTATAAAATATTAATGATTAAAATGCTACATTTTTTATTACAAAAACAAAAAAAAATTTGCAAATAAGTAAAAAACAATTTATCATTATTAATTAAAAATATATAAAGAAGAAAGAATGACATTTAATGAATTATTTATAGTAGTAAACTTCAAACAATATTTATTTATAAGGATTTATAAATACTGTGAATAATATTTTTTTAAGAAATAATAAATAGAATTTACATAAAAATTTTTTTATTCCATCTGTCCCAGTTTACATGCTTTTTAGGAATGAAATAAGGAACATAAGGAGTATGTATTTATTAGTAATAATATTTTTAACTCATATATTATATATATTTTAAATAGAGAATCTTTTTCCAGTATCAATGTATTATATTATGAAAATTCAACAATAATTTCGTGTTATAAGCTCAAAATATATAATTATTTATAATTATTCATCCTTATATATTATTACATGAGTAAAAAAGATTAATTTATAATTGTCTCCAAATTATGTTGAAATAGAATAGACTCAAAAATACATGTTCATAAATGAACGATTAATGCAATAAATTTTAAATATATAATTTCAAATATATTGTCACATTATAATCTAGAGTTAAAATTTAATATATTGTACACAATGATATAAATTGTTGTTTTAATAAATACATATATTTATGTATAATATTCACTTATATATATACATGAGACTTAGTTTTTTATGAATTTAATAAATAAAACTCTTTCTATATATATACATATACTAATATGTCTATCATACTATCTAAAAAATGTTACCATATTAATTATTAAGTTTTTGTTTTAGAACAAATGTTTATAAAAGAATAAACATATTTACAATTATATTTTCTTACTATTATATAATCATTAAAAATATTATATATATATAAAAAAAAAATTATATCTGTTTAAAAACACGTTTTATCCTAATATAACGCATCAATGTAGCATTATACTCTATAAGAAGCATTTACACAATAAATATGTTGTATATAAAAGTATGTAGAATATTTATATATCTTATTAAGAAATTAATCTACCATAGAAATATTCATTTTATCATATCATAAAATGAAAAAAAATATAAATAATTTTATTATGTTCAAGAGAAATTATATATATATTTATTTTATATTATAAATAAGGAAAATGTGCATTTATATAGATAATATTATTATACCAGAAAAAATAGTAAGCATTGATGCTTCTGCAAACTAATATGTTATAATATACTTACAATATTTTAATATATAATATTATTAAAATATTATGTTGAATATTTTGATATATTTCTACTATTATCAAATGACATTATTCTGTTTTTAACATTTTACCAATTTTATTTTTTCATGAATATGACAAGATCATAAAGAAATATGAAAAATATTTATTTTAATTATATTTTAACAACAAAATAAATGCTTTATATCTTATATAACTACTAAGTAATATATATTTTACATTCGCTTACAAAAATAATTTTTGATTTCATAGAATTATTAAAGCAATAAATATGTCTTCTTCCGTTGAAAGTGATAAAATAGTACATTAAAATCATTATTTAACATAATTTTAATTAAACTATAATGATAATTTTTTTCTTAAATAAAGATATCACTGATGGATATATGTGTTCTTATATTATTTTCCTTTTTTTCCTTGTAGTATAGGCATATAAATTTATTTGATAATTACAAACAGAAAATTGACGAATTTCAAAGTAAATCTGATCGGGGATCAGAAGATTCATACTGTAATAAAGCTAAATCGAGTGAAAATATTAATATTCAAGAATTTTCTACATTGTGTCCTCAAGCTATTTCTTTTTTAAATGATAATACAGAATCAGGTAAAGATTATGCTAAGGATGAAGCTTGTATATACTTGTATTATTGGTTGTATGTTGAACTTAATAATAAAAATAAAGCATATAGTGATATTAAAAAATGTTATGATGGATTCCTACAGGCATACAAAAATTTGGCAGTTTCTACATGCGAGTATTACGAGAATAACATTACTGAACTTATATTAAAAAAAATCAAAGATATATATGACATGAATAAAGGAATTCAAAATATGGAGCAAAAAGGGGAATCGTACTGTAATGATAAATGTACATGTGCCAAAAAATGCTTTGATATATATAAGACATACATGAATGAATGTAAATCCAACAATGACAATGATTTTTGCAATGCTTTAGAAAATGTTCGAGTCAAATATAATGAAAAAATGTCAGGTCAAAATTGTGAAAATGATACTCCTCAAGCAATACATTCATTGCAACCCTATAGTATCAGAATTCCTATATTATTTTCAATTGGTATCATATTAAGCATGTGCCTTTTTCTATTTATCTTGTATAAAGTTAATGCTATGTTACTTTCTTTTCTATAATGATATAACTATTCCATGTAATTTAAAACACAAAAAGTTACAAGAAAAAAATAATTTACGCTATATATTAATTTTTCTCCTCATCAATTAGTATACGCCGTATGATTCATTCTTTCGATGTGCAAGAGTAAGAAAAAAAATTAAGTGGAATAATGTAGATAATAATGGGAATATACTACAATTGTATGAAATATCAAATGGAAATTTTAATAATAATAAATGTCATATATTATACAATACTTCCTAATTTTGGCATTAAATTATTAATATGAAAAAAAATTATTTTTATAGTAGACATATGGGGATCCATATTAATAATATGCATAACCATTCAATTAATAAATTTTTTTAAAATTAAATAATTACTATAATAATTTAAAGAAGAAATAAAAAATAATTCTTCATTTTAGTAAGCTTATATATTAAAATGTATAACTTATAATATTTTAAAGTATTATTCGTTATAAGCATAATTTGTAACAAAAATACTACTAGCCTATATCGAATTCTTTTTTTTTTTCTAGTTTAATATATTTCTTTTGTATGAATACGTTATTTCTAGGTTAAATAACATATATTATTAATAAAGTAATAGCATGGAAGATATGATAATATATCGTTCATATATACTTACTAATTTTTATAGTAATTGTACACGATTAAGCTAAAATGCTACCATACATATCATGATATTATTATATAATGTAATATAATATTAGTGATATATACATTTCAAGATATTAAATAGTCATGTTAAAAGTAAATTTATACATATAATTTATTTTATAATTCATATAGAATGTTCTTTTTATTTGCAATATTCTTGTATCGTACTTGATTATATGTATTATACAATTATATGGAAGGACAAGAATTAAATTTTTTTAATTATTTTCTATGTTTTTTTTTTTTGTTTCCAAATCCACTTTATTTCCCCCCCTGTTTTAATTAATTTTTAAATTTCCTATAATTTATATAATGCGTCGTTAAATTATCCGCTGAATAAATTTATGTGGAAAAAACCGAAAACAACATATATGTACTTTTTTAATTTATAAATATGTTGAAAATTTTATTATATTATTTATGTCATATGTTAGCACATAAGATATATAGAAAAAATTTAATATTAAATTATATATAATTATAAAATTAATAAAACTAATATGTTCAATTATGTTTATTATGTAAATATAATAATTTTAATTTCTATATATTTACAAATAATATCAGATATGTATGTATTCACAATGTAAACATAAGTTGAAAAAGTTAACATTTTTCAATTTAGTTACAATAAATCATATATAATTAACACAAAAAATGAGTATGAATTAAAAAATATATATGAATTCATACGTATAAAAGAAGCAAAAAAATTCTGTATTTTAAGATCATTTTTATGTAATAAAAATAACTTTTACAATATATTCCAATGTGGGTAAATTGAGAGAATAACAATACTGTATATCTCTAAATATTTGATACAGAGTAGAATTATAAGTCATATATATTAAGATTATGTAATTTTAATACATCTAAATTTATGTTAATTTTTTTGTCATTTAATAAATACTTTTTGTTCTTCAGTGACTTAATTCTCAGAGGATGCGAGTTTTAATAAATTATAAATTTTTTTAACACTTTCATAAGTTGCTAGTTATGATAAATGAATATATTATATACTTAGAATGGATATATGTTTATATTTTCTTTGTTAGTACATTACTTAAATTAAAAATAGACAAGCTCATTAAGAAAAATGAATAGTTTGATATGTTATATAAATTAATTTTTATAATATATATTTTATGGTTTATATAAAAAACAGTGTAGATATGAAAATATATAATTCTTACTACCAGTGTAAAGTAAAAAATATTATTTTCAGCTTATATTTTTATTTATTTTTTTTCCTGAATTGATAATTTTATTGTAAAATGTAATGATCCTTATATTAAAGGCATATAATAATGTATTATATACTTAATTAATTATTAGTATAATAGTTCTTCCTAGACAATAATTTATTCTATATTAAATTTTACAAAAATATAACATATATTCCTTTGCAACATTAAAATAAATGATCAGACAATGATGTATATTTTATAATAAGCGTAAATTTTCAAAAATATATAACTATTTTGGTATAGATGTATATACTATTTATTATGTAAATTTTTATATGTTATATCCATGATTCTCTACGTTATTTTTAAATATGAGTTCAACATAATTTAGCACATTATGATATAAATATGTTTTGTATATATGTGTTTTTTTGATCATGAATATGTGAGTATAAGATACTTTTGTAATTATTTAAATTTATTTTTTGGGTTTTTTATAAAATATATGATGTGAATTATAAATATATATATATATATATATATATATATATAATTTATGTTCCTTCTTCCTGATAAATAAATAAGAAAATGTATAGCATATATACAAAAAACATAGTTAATATATTATAATATCTTCCATTATATATACTTAATAAAATTCCATTAATGAAAAAACCTACATATGTGTCTACATATAATACCATTGGGTAAATATATATGTAAGTGAAAATTTTAAAATACGGCATAAACAGAATAAACTTTTTTTATTTTTTTATACTATATAGTATGTTCTATAATATAATTTCTTGTACATTTATAAATATTCTACTATCAGATGTCTTAAAATTATGTGCTACATAATTTAGGATTCTCGTGTTTAAATAGGCTAAGCAAGAGCTTTATTATAACACCAAATTAGGTTTAGTATTGAATGAATAATAAATATTTCATAACCTTATTATAAGGCTATAGTTTTTATTTTATTATTTGTTTATTTATAACCAAGGAGGTAACCAAATTAAATCGTCCAAATAAGATAAATGCAAAATTATACATGTTTATTTTACCTAACTAAACACAAAAATGAATGTATTTTATATAGTACCAATAATAAAAGACATCATATATATACAATTTATGAATAATATATACAAAATATCATGATAAGTGCTTCATAATTCTAGTGAAAACTTTAGGTAATATTTAATATGTAAAATACTTCATGCCCTATGAAGTGGATAATCTGTAACTCATTAATTATTTTGTCATATTTCATGCATTTGTCGCAATCATCTGTAAGGTGAAATAAAATCATAAAAAAGATTGATTTTATATTTTATTCTATGATTTTCTCTTATAATAATTTTTAAGATGTTCGATTATGGCTCTTTTATATATTAATATTTCTAAAAAAATAAAGGAACCTTATAGTTTTTGTCGAAATATTACGTCCATTCCTTTAGAGCATGTAACCTTGCTTCCCATACTCATTTTAGAATTAATGCTAATTATGATATAATTTTATTCTATATTTTATTTAGTAATATTAAACAATGATTTATGTTCAATTATGTTATCATGAATTTTATTATGTACTTTTAAATACTCAAAATAATGTTATTGTATGTCTTAATTTGTTTTACTCTATGAAGATAGAATATATCTCATGTTTATAATTCTTTGTTAGTATATTAAAACATAATAAAAAATATTCTTAATTATATATTAAAAAAAAATTTTATTTATGAATATACTAAAACAATATTATACATATTCTGAGAATGTATATTATCAAAATAATACAACATATGTACATTAGTTATATGTAGAAGCATTATACTTACGTAATACATCACAGACAGGTGTAATTGCACTGAACGGAACAAAGTCAATGCTTTTTTATAATTAGGAGAATTTTTGTTCTATTTAACATTGAAATCGGTAGTTTAATATATAATTTTTTAAAATAATTGATGCACTTATTTACTTAGAATTTAAAATCACTTTTCTCTTATTATATTTCAAATATTCAAATGAAATTTATAATAACAACACTCTAATCAATATAAGATTCGTTTAGCACATTATCATTATTAATTCATACGATATTTCCCTCCTATATATGAAATTATAACTGTATTGTCAAGAGTATATGTGTATATATAATTGTGCTCAATGTTTATGTTTATGCATTAATTTCTCTTATATATTTAGAAAAACATATAGGAAAATTATAATCATGAAATACCCTGAATAGTAAACGTAAAATAAAAAAAAAATTTACCCATATTTTTTACTTATAGTTATAAGTCATTCTTGTATATTTCAACAGTGGATTATATCTATGAACCATTTCCTAAATTACTCATTTATCCCACGAAATATACGGAAATTTAATCTTATCTTACAACACATTTCAAATGTTAATGCAATCGTGAGATTTATATTTCTATGATGTATTATTTGAATATATTTTGTTATTCTTAATATCTCTTAATTTAAGTCAAAAATTAATGTTAAGTATTTATATAATTTCACATTCAATTACGGTTTGTTATCCAATAACGCTTTTATGCTTTTAATAATAAAATGGTTATAAAACAATGAAATAAATTTCATGAAATTTTCATATCATAGAGTTAATCAAAAATTCAATAAAAAATGACACAAACATGTTTTATATGGAGTAACATTTATGTGCAAATCTAAATAATACAGCACCCATACTTGCCGTATAATTAATAATTTATATAATAGTATTTTATAAAAACAGCTAATGGGCGTAGATATGTTAACAATGTGGATAGAACATCTTCAAATTTTAAACTAAATGAACAAATTTGTCAAATATTTGATAATGATAAAAATGTGTTGATGAAAAAAAAATATAAGCAACAATAAGTATTTTATTTTAACTAATTATTATAAAAATAAAATTCGTAAAGTTTAATTAGTATCAATGGTGACGCAAATTAAAAAAATATATGAATAAAAATAATGAAAAATATGAACAAAATTTGCTGACATAAGGCATCTAAACATATTAGAAACATATGTTTCAACAAAGCATACCAAAAAATAACAATAAATATATATTGTATAAAAATGGTACAAATAATTTTTTTATGTAATTATTAAAAACGTTTGCACTATAAGCTATAGTTCATGTTATATATAATACATAGAAGTATTAGTTACTTAAAGAAATATTAGGTAAAAAAAATTTTAAGCACATAATAATATATTAACAATTATTAAAAAGGAAAAACAAACACATTTTTTTACGTTATAATTATATATAGAATTAAAATATTAATAATCATTTATATAATATTTATAGAGTCAAGAACATAGGAATGTAATAGATATGTAATTACAATGAAACAAATATGTATTGTAACATTAGTAATATTAGTTGTAGAACACACACTAAACCAAACATAAATGAAACAAAATTCAAGGATCTTAAAAAAACTAAAAAAAAAAAGATCAACCATATGTATAACAATAGCACACGATTTACATGATTAATCTTTTTTCCAAAGCAGTGATGTTACTGTTATTAATTTTATTCCTTTCCCCTAATTAATCTAAGAAACTTTGAAACTTTAACATATGCAGGAGTAACTAATGGTAACAATACAAGACATAATATAACAACTGTTACAACACATATTACAATGATCATAGATGTACTTGTGCCCGTTGTAGATTGCGCTATTAACACGCGATAAAGCATATATGGAACTGTTGATCCTAGAGTAAAAATAATAAGACTCAAAAATATGTGTAAACCACGCATTGTATGCCCGCTTTTTTCAGAGGTATTACTAAAAGTTTCATCATTTTTCTCAGATTTATATAGTTTATCTGGGTGATATAATGCCATTTCCTCAAAGAGTAGATCACGTCCTTCTGTAGATTTGCGTACTGGAGTTTTGGATATTAAATTTTTGTTATTAAATGTTTTTTCTTTTGGAAATTTTGACATAACATGAGCATTATAACCTAATGTTGTATTATGCGGACTATATTCTAAGCCATAATTAAATTTTTCTTGTGTGTATTTGTTTCCCATTCTTTTATGTGCCAGTAAGCGTTCATTTTTTATGCATAATTCATTGTTGTCATAGTGTCTGTTATACAAATATTTGCCAATTAGAGACTAAATAAAATAAAATGAATAATACTGTTTTATAAAACAAAAAAAATCACGTTAAGGATAGATTAATTTTTAATATAATTAATATTATAAAAAAAAGACAGGTATTCACACTTGTTATTATAATACCTCATTGGGATACTGATATATCCATGTTAGAAGGATAAGGGTTAATATTTTAATGTAAATTGAAACATTTTTCATCTTCATAATGTAAATAATTGATATTATCATAAGAATAAATAAAATAAGAACTTAAATTACAATATAATAAAATGATGAAAACATGAAATTTCTAACAGTATTAACTAACATATTTGTGTTTCAAGGTTAATATTTATTCAAATAACAACAAGGTGTTTTATAACATATATAAACATATTTACCAACGTTTTTTTTAATAATATTCATGGGTGAATTATAGAAAATATTAATTAAAATAATTTTTAAATAATTAACATATTCGCGTATATAATACAAAAATTACATCATATTATATATAAGTATATTCTTATTAATATATAAAAAAAAGAAGAATAATTTATTCTTTCTGAATTGAGAAAATTATAATATATTTAATATATTCAGAATAAGAAGTTTCGTAAAGTTGTAATTCTACATATTATGTGCAAAATTGAAAGGTTCATTCAATTTTATGATTATCATAATGAATGTTACATTTTAGATATAGTACACTTTTTAGTATGATTAAAAATAATTTTTACATCATTAATAATTAATATATAGAAAAAAGGAATATTTTAAAAAATATTATGAGTAATATAGTTTAATTTTTATATTTATTTTTATTAAATATAATGTATTCTAAAAATAAAATTCTACAATTATTACAAATTTTCCTAAATGTATTTATTTATAATGAGAAAATCCTTTAAATATATTATATAAATAAAGCTATTTATTAATAATTTTCATTTATCCCTTAATTAAATAATTCATTCGAAATATTTTTATTTTATTTTATCTAGTTTTTGTTAGTATAATTTATTATTGGTTTAAACATGGTAGTAAAAAAAGTCGCAGATATATTTTATTGTCTACACAATTTTTTTTAGAAATAACATTATATATCTGTTAATGTGGAAATTATAATTTTTTTCTAATTCATTGCAAATATTCTCATTGTTTATATATGTTTAATTTGTTATAATATTTTTTTATCCTTTTTATTTAATTATAAAATACAGTAGAGGTTATAACTACACTTGTCATGGTTATAATTAGCTTAATTGTGTTTCATGCATTTGTATCTTTATAATGAATTCTCTAATTTATTTGATAATCCAGCTACAAAGCTTCATGATATCGAATGAAAAATTATTTATGATTTTAAAAAATATTTGAAAAAGGAAACATGATTATTGACGCATGCAAACCATGGGGTGCGTATCAAATTTTATGGAAATAATCATAGACTTTAAGAAAAAAAATAGAAAATGTGGAATAATTTTATTAATAATATAAGTCAATAATTATATTTCAGTTATTGAATGTTATATTAAATGGTTTCATCTAATATGTTTTTCATTTCCTCACAAATTTAAAGCATCTAACTCTAAGAAATCAATATTTTAAAATTATGACTGTCTTTTCTTATGAGAAAATATTAAATCCATAATTTATAACGATCGTTGGATTATCTAATGAAAAAATTTTCCCATGTATATATAATGCCGTTATGAACTAATAACTTGTTACGCAAAATGTTTCCCTGAATTATCTCTAACCCGTAAAAGCATAAAATTAGCCATTTTTTTTTATCTTCTTCTTCAATATTTTATACCATTTTTTTTTTTTAATATAATCTACACAACTGAAAATCATTCTTTATTTCTTTCTATATAGGTTATCATAATATATATAAATATTAAATTTGGATACTTAACAGTGTTATATAAATTATGAAATATATGAAAATCATATCTATTATAAATTAGTACTTACAAATTTAAAACTAGGTTCCGTTAATTATATATCTAAAAGTTCTATGCACAAAACACCATACTCTAAAATTCATAGTTATATTAAGTTAAAAAATAAAATTGTAATTAGATCAAGTATACATTTGCTTGAATAAATTATGTCGAAAATATTATGGCGCAGAAATTTTTTATCTTAAATAATTTAAAAAAGAAACATTAAATAATAAATCAACTAATTCCTTTAATAAATAAAAATTAATTCTTTCTAAATAAATTACTGCATTTTATTATACTATATGTTAAAAAGTAAATATATATGAATAAATACACAAATATGCGAGAGTGTAGATAGTACCTACACCTTCATATTTGACTACGTATTTGTGTTTTTTTGTGCTCGTTTTTCTAATTGAATAATAATATTTTTTATTAATAGAGACGTCCTAATTTTCGTTCATCGTTGTAGAAAATCTGAAAGGTCATCTCTGTGATTGCCACAATCATTTTCTCTTCAATATACATTGACATAAAAAATTATAAAGAAATGATAATATTAATCATTGCATATAAATATTTATAAATGCCTTTTGAACAAAGATAATGTAATCGAATGAAGTTACATGTAAAACAAAGTTTAATTAGTGATGCAATAAATAAAGTCTATCACATTTATGGAATAATCTTCTGAAATGTGTTAAACATGTAAATATATTTTTATGTTACATATGATTAAATTAATAAAAAAAAAGAGAAAAGCAAAATAAAAGATAACAAAAATAATTTTAATAATAATTAAAAATATTTAAGAAATTTAATACAAAAAAATAAATTGTAAATAAAAAGGCATCACACATTACTATGATAATCATATATATATATTGTCATTTATGATCATACAACATATCCTATTATGACGCACTTTTTATAGTGAATTTCCGTTTTCATTTTAATTATTTATTATACTTTAAGAATTATTACTATAAATTTCTATGGATCTTTTTACATGCTTTTATAAATATTCCCTTATATACGATGTTTGATATTTTTTGATTAAAACATTTCATCTATCCTCTGCATAATATTACACATTCTTAATAATCATAATTACCTAATATAATTCTATATATATGAATAAACAAATAACATATCTGTCACTTATTTTATTAGTATAGATACTTTTCTTCACTTTCATTCACATTATTACTTGATGAGTCATTTGTTATAAATAAAATTACAAGTTACCTAACAATTAAGAGAAATATTTTTTTTTTTTTTAATTTCTCCTATTTTCACGATTTTTAAATAGTTTAATATGAAAATATAGTGCTTATCCCTATAAATAGTTCATATTTTAATTTCATATTACTTATTTTCATGTTTTACAACTGTCTTCCATAATTTTCCTCATTTACATAACTCAATAAAAATAATTATTCATATAAACGTACATCTATTTATACTATATATTTTCATTCAAAGGATTTCTTTATAAGCGAATAATTACAAAAAAGTTGCTTTTTAGGTTTATAATGATGGTCTAATCTTTATTACTTATAAATAAAGATTCTATGTCATACTCTGGTAAATCATACACAAAGTTTTCAAGATAAATTATAGGAAATTATTTTTTCTTTAACTCATTATAATGCAAATTTAATCTAAGCCGAGATCACTAATGCACAAATATAAAAAGATAAAACGTGTATAGGGTATTCATTTCGGCATTATAAATATTCAAATAAATAAATTCTAAATGTCATTATTATACATATATATATGCTAACCTTCAATTTTTATTTACGCTAAAATATGACAAAAAGAAAAGAATTATTCGTATTATTTAAGAAACTACCATGAAGTTTAGAAAGTTGTCTAAATTCAATATATTATTTGACGTTTCAGTAACATTATCACGTATCAATAATAGTATTATATGATATAATCGATAGTGATATATGTATATTTGAGGTGGTTTCTTTAACTAATTGTTCCTTAGCTCTTCGCTTGAAAGAGCTTACTTCTGGCACATGGTTCTTTGTACTTACATGATCATTATGTTTTTTTATATATTCCATTTGTTCTTTTAATTTATATAATAATATATTCGGATTGTATTCATTTTCTCATTTAATATATGGTTCACAAAATATATCATCTAATTCTCTTTCATCGCGTTAGACACTTTCTTTTGGTATATATTCATAATTTAGTTAACATAATCCACATAGTTTTCACATATATCTTTATTTGCATTATTGCAACTAGTCTGAGTATAATTTTAAAAATAATAGTGCAAATTTTTTTTTTCTTTTTTCTCACCTACAGTATTTGAAAGATGACAATTGCAAGATGAATCATTCATATATTCTGCATTAAAAATTGGTACTAAATCCAAAAATTATTAACAAGTTCTATATTATTTAATAATTCCCCTGTAATTTTTTCTTAAATTATGAAAAAACCAATGCTGAATGTAATAGCAACTGCTTTTACGATTATTTTTTTTTTTTTGTTAGACAGCGCTTCTAAAAAATTGACTACCTGCATACAGAACGTTTTAACTTTATTTTATATCTCCAAAATTAATTGCATTACCATTTCCACCACTTAAATTATCTTCGTCATCCATTTCCTTGTATCTTTTATAGAAAGGTAAATTTCGTAAATCTCTTTTCTTTCATTTAATTATAATAGGTTAATGGAAATATATGGGTATATTCATCCTTTATTATAAACATATTATATTCATTTTAATCATATACATACTATTCAGATGTGATAATATTTACATAATAAAAATTTATATATACCTAATTATTCATTTCTGAAAGTGCCATTTTATTATGTCTACTAAATCAGATAATGGCCTTCATAATTCCTCATGTACAAGTGTAATGTAATAAAGGATAATCTCTTTGTATACTATACATTAGTATAAATTAATTATAAAAATCAAGTAATTTATTTTATATAATAGCATCTTTCAAATTAAGAACAAAAATTTCAATGGTGCTATTACTGCCATAAAAGATGAATACTTTTAATTATTCACAATTGTATAAAGAAAATTATTGTTGCGCAAAATACGAAAAAAATATAGAACTGTACGACTCTATTAATAGTATGCAATAGAATAGACCATACTTATTTTTCCTAAATTACATACTGCTAACTTTCCATATCATTATTGATTATACCTTTTCAAATGTAAACATTTGAGCAATGTGGTTGTGCCAACAACATGTATACATCAATAAATATATTCACTCCTTAATCTTTCTTAAAAATGGGTAGTAATTTTCGTTATTCTATAACCCCTTTTCAAGAGTTATTAATGTCAATTATTTATTTATACATTGGTAAAAATCGATATATTATGAATTTACAATAAGAATAAAATAAATGTGGCATAAACCAATACGCATCATAAGTTATACATTAATTTCATTTATTGCACAAAATGAATAATATGTGTAACAAAATGTTATAATTTCTACATGTATATTATTCAATGTGTCGACAATGCACAATAAATAATGGAATCATTATACTTAAAAATTTCCACAACAGAATAAAATCCTTTGTCACTATATTCTTTATTTTTTTAAAGTGTAGTAAATAAACTTTTAACGATTAACATTTTTTTATACATATAAAATAAATACCTGTGAAGAATATTTCGAAAAAGGAAGAAAAAAATAACATTTTGCTCGCATAGTATAAAAAATGATTTCAAAAAGGTTTTTTTTTTAAAAAAAATATATTTGGAAAGCCGCAACGCTGCAAAATTCATAATATATTGTAACTAAAAAAGAAGGCTTAATTTTCTGTGTTTTTATAAACACACCTTGAAATTTACTTTTTCTTTAAGTTTCATTTATATTTTTTTTAAAATATAAAAAGTCCGTTCACACCTTTTATTAATATTCCGTTGAAATGGAACATGTACAATTATTATGTTTGTTATACATTAAAACACAAAAATCATCGATTCTTTTGATAGTCTTAGCTTCTGAGTGTAAAAATTAACATACTCTTCACAACCTTTTTAAGAAATAAATTATTACCACAATAAATTTTTGTGTGAAATGGACAGTTGTTTCCATTAAATAAATGTGTATGTATAAGCTGAACTATTATATCACATATTAATTGTGTTTTCATATATATAACATGAAAAACAATTAAGTTGTTCATATAGGCATAAAAAAATTCCCTCATTTTGTAAGCACAGAATGTTATTATGATATTCCATAACATATATGTATTTGTGCGTTCATTTAATTTTTTATAGCAATTTTACCGCAACATCGCTTGATTCTCTTTTTTCATCCCATATTAACATATATGCTATAGTGATAACCATTATAAAAATCATAATAGTTTCGGTGAAAAAGAGCATTAATGCACATTTTACAGAATTATGATATTTCCCCAATACAGCGTTTATGTAACGCATGAAGTTGATTTTATAGCATTACATTTCATATGCAAAACTCTGTTTTTTTAAAACTGTTCTGGAAAATTGTTATATGCTAATTAACATACTTTCGAAAAGTAGGATAAAAAACATAACATTCGTTTTGACAATAAAAATTATATTAAGTTAATTTTAGACAGAAACATTAAATTTAAATTTTCATTACAAAGATTATGAAAAATTACTGCATTACATTTTATAAAGAAATAAATGAACAAATTTATAATTAAAACTCTTCATTTAAAGTAAGCTTGTATATACTGATAAACTTTAGCTTTCTTTTAAATTCAAATGAGTAACAAAAAATTTGAAATTTATGTAATGCATAAAAGGATCATAAAAATATAAAGTGATGATATATATACATATATATAATAACCATAACTTAGAATATTCTAAAAAGGACACCTATACAATTGTAGAATCCTTTTTTGCATTATCAAAACTAAAAAAATAAGTTTATTATAACACATACAATAATATGAAAAAAAAGGATCTATATATTTCTCTAAATGAGTAATGCATATGTATGAAAACTATAATCGTGAAGTATTAATAATATAATGAAAATTTATTAGGCATAAATCAAAAATATAACATTCATGAATTGTTATTACTCTTGCAGAGAATTAACCAATTAAAAGAAAATTAATAACTCTTTTATGAGTGAATAATCATATATAATGTACTCCTATTAAAAAAATATAGAAGCCACGAAAAAAAGTTATGTTATTAACGATGCAGACCAAGAAAGGGTAATACAATCAATGGATAAAAATAACAACATATTATACAAATGGAAATGCAAATAAATCACATTTTTAAGGTTTATCTAAGTATAAAATATGTTGTCTTGTATAATATTTTCAATTTTTTACAAATAATATACGTTATTATATGTACTACGAATTAATAATAATAAAATGAAAAAGTGCTAATTTTATTCGGGCAATATAAGGTGATTTATAAATGATAATATGAAACATTAACATTTTGTTTTATTGAAGAACTAAATTATATAAATAATTAATTATACATAAATATAAGTATATTGTACTTATTCACACTCTACAACTACCACTGGCACTTAAATGATAAAAATTTACATGTAATATAAAAGCGTTAATGTATACCTAATATACAAACTATAATTTTTGTAATTTCTTTTAAGTGACAAATGATTAATTTAGTTATAAATAATTTTAGTAATAATAAAAAAAAAATCCTTACACATTACATACTTTATATTCAATATCTTTATACAGACCATCATAAAATTCAAAATAGACCACGACAGTATTAATGAAACAAATGCATAGGCACATGAAAATCTATTTAACAACCAAATACAAATTCACTTCTTTTTATTAATATAATTTTTTATTAGAAATATATTTGACCATAGATGAAACATAAAAAATAATAGAAGCGAATATAACATTAAATGCAAGCCTTGTTCTACTAATGTAAAAAAAGCTATATACACATATATACATAAATAACAATTTGTAGAACACGGCTTATATCATTTTTTAATATCACTTAAAATCATTCGGCATTTATTATTTTACTTTTTTCCTTGTATTATACATAAATCTTATATGCATATATATGTTTTACATCAATTAATTTATATGTCTCACATTTCAATATATAGGCACTTATATTAATATTATACATAAAAATATTACAAATTCCTTAAGCTGACCATGCAAAATATAACTTTTAAAAGTTGTCCCAAAATATAATTATATGTTAAAATATTTTTGTATCCAAAAGTGAATGAATTTACTTTCAAAACATCCAAATGCTGCGTTAAACATAATAATTTATACTTCCCCAATTTTATTGATATAATGTTATTAGACTATATATACTAAATCATGGCTTTAAAGATTATATATGCATATAATAAAATTTACTTTTTGATATTATTTAGTTAAACCAATAAAAAGGAAAAATAAATATAACAAAAAGAATTATAATATATTTATAACTTCTAAATCTATTCGTGTAACTCTTAATAACTAATATAATATGAACCAGTAGTATACTCACAATTTTTTGTATTATTTAGTTGAATTTGAACATAATACTCATGTATCTCATTAAAATACATGCAATGAATATCACAAAGATGTGTTGAATTATATAAGTAAAAAAAAAAAAAATTAAAAAATTGCTTAAAAAATGTTTTAAAAATTATATATACCAGATGCACATATATAAAGAGAAATAAAGAAGAAAATGCCTAAAATATATGACATTCATATGCCGTAAAAATAACACATCTCATGATTAAAATAATGAAGAAATAGCATTTGAAACAAATGAATACATAAAAAAATGTATTACGTGTGAAAAATAATGCTGAACGACAGAATAATTTTAATTATATTCTGTGTTATCCCCCCATATATATAAATCTAAAGGTTATGAAAGTATATAATTCAATGTTCTGTTAAAGGAAAATATTATGGTTATAAAGAAAAAACTAACAAAATCAATAGTTTTAATATATTATTGTTAGTAATGTTTTTATCATAGATGAAATATCTAAAGCTGTAACTTACTACCCGAATAATACACATGTACTTGCGATCATCTCAACATAATTTTTATCTATCACTTAATCTATATCGAAAATAAAAACAAATAATAACGTAAAATATTTACAATCAAGCAAAGCTATAAGCAGAAATTTAAAAAGCCTTATAATTAATAATTATTATATTTATTTTAATATTCATACAAAAATAATATACTTTATAGTGAAAAGAATGCTAAGAAAAAATTATAAACATAAATCATAGTTACCAAAATTTTGATACATAACACTCAAATTATCTATACATAGATAAAATCATGAAAGTGCAAAAATATGTAAATATAGTTTAATTAGAGATATATATTCTATAAAAACATTTAATGCACTTAAAGAAATTATATAATAGCTCTTGACGGAATTAATATTGTCACATATATAAAAAAAGGAATTACATTATTTTCCTATGAATTACACAAAAACACATCATGCTAAATACAGTAATAAATATGTTAAAAAGTGGGATCATTAATTGTTGAAGCATAATATTTCTTATTTTAATCATGCAAATACTAAATAAACACCCCCCTGTTATGATAATACTATAAAAAGTGATAAATATACTTACTAGTTCTCATAAATACTAAAATATCACACCTAAACCCTGAAACCAAAAATATATACTCATAATTTCATAGTAATTATATCTATATATAGTTACTAATTTAAAAAACAGTAAGCACTTATAAAACTAACATTTTTTTTTTTTTTTAAATGCAATAGCTCTTTTATATAATTTCTAGACATAAACATAATATTAATAATGTTGATTAAAAAAGGATATCATATTTTTCGCATCATGTAATATATTTGTGTTTCTCATGTTCTTCTTATAATAAATAAAAAATAATATTTTATATAAAAAAAGATTAATACAATATTTTAATACGTAGAAATGTTATTTAAGAAAAAATTCGAAAATATTTATAAATATATTATAAAAATCTAATAAATGAGATTACACACTTTTTCTTATATTGTGGATCTTTATTTTAAAAGTAGATATTAACTATTTTCTAAAACTTCTTTGATCTATTTAATTTACTTGAAAACAGATAAAATGTTGCGCAAACTTGATATATCAGATGTATGTATACATAATTATAACATAAATTACTATAATTAAATATAATTATTCTACATTTCCAAAAAATATAATAGAACTGATCACAACATAATACATTTTTTTTCATACAATTTTTTTTTTCTTCTTAATAGTATCAACTTGTAGCGGATTTTATAACGTATGAGAATATTATGAATGGTGTGCAAATATATGCTCCTGACACAAATAAATATAATTGTTTGCATCTAAATTATCAAGATATTAAAGAATATGAATCCCAAATTAAGCCCGAGTGTGAGAAAATTATGTTTTATTTTGCAAAAATTTATAATAGTAGAAAGGATAAATATTTTGTACATAAAGGTTTAAAATATTTGTATTATTGGATATATGAACGAATTCTTGCCATGAAAAACTTCAATCATGTGGTAACAATTTATGACAGATTGTACAAAAATTTCATAACTTTTTGGAAGGAAAAAAATATATCCGAAATAGATATAGGAATTTTAACTGAAAGTGAACTGCGAAAAATTGCACTTTTATATAAAATGTATAAATGTATGAATAATAGGAAAAAATATATAGAAAAGCCAGAAGAAAAGGAATATTGTGATACTCTATCCTATTTTATAAGCCAGAATAAACCAAAATATAGCGATATTTCTAGACCTTGGTACTCACGTCAAACAGGAGACTCTTGCCCACCAGAAAAACCTTGTAAGTCCTCTCTTTCACGCCCTGTACTAGTAGCATTCTTCATAGCTATAATAATGTCACTTTTTCTATTTTATGTACTTAAGGTTAACAATAATGTATTATTTTATTTCTTTATAATATACATTACTTATAACAATTTAATTGGAAAAAAAAAAAAAATTAATCTAAAGTAAAAATATTTTTAATGCATATATTTTTTTTATTATGTATTAGTACACCTCATATGGTTCAAAAGTAATCTCTAAGCAAAAAAATAAAAGATACAATCGGGATTATATTTATGAAGAAGGATGGGATGCACATGAAATACCTCAAATATGCGACAATACTTATGAAACACCTCAAATGTACTACAATACGAATGAAACACCTGAAATACACTACAATATGTATGACGATTCGAGGCGTCGTATAATATATAATTCTTACTAATATTCGCACAAAATACATAATTCAAAATAAAAAAATTCTTCAAATATCCTATATGAATGTGCATACAAATTAAATAGACAGAAATACATTCAATATCCTATGCAATAACGAAGTAAAAAATATAGTGTAATTATATAAATATTTTTATTCTATAATATAGCAATATAAATAAAATTTAAAGTTGATACTCAAAATATTATTCTCTAACCACATGATAGGTGAATACCCATTATATTGTTAAATTTCCTTGTTAATTTATGGTAATTTAGTTGGAATTAGTAGGATATTCTCTTGTAATAAAACCCCATATATCATAAAATAAATGATGTCATATGCAAAGATAAGAAAACAAAAACAAGATAAAATTATTAATTATGATAATAATCGAGAATACATTTGTAAATCATTTGTATAAATGTCATGTTATTATGCGTATAATATTATCAAAATTTCAATTCAAACATAAACAAATGATAATAATTATTTATGATTTTTACTATAATTATCGTTATTTGTTTTTTCAATAAAATTATTTTGTTTCCTAATTTTTATTATAATAATAAATAATATGTCCTTACATATGTGTGCCATCATGCCATTGACAAAATCCATATTTCAACAGATTTATTTTTTTTAATTATCATTTCATTATATTTATATTTATTAGACTAAATTTACATTTAATTTTTCTGTGATGAATAATATTTAAAATTATTATGTTAATATGATGCTCTCATAAATATGAACATTAATTTTTACATTATGTAATAAAATAAAAATAAATATACATATCAATTTAATTCTATAAACTGATGTGAAATTATTATGTTATATATAGTATATTAATTATTTCTATCATACATGCAACATAATTTTAGTTTTTTATAATGTCATGTTGTTTTCTGTATATAAATATAAAAAAGAATATAATTTATAATATAATATTTTATATGTAACATAAATATATTATATTTTAATATACACTCAAAAAAGTTTAATTAAGTGTAATTAATAATATAAATGTAGGATAAACTTAATATATTCAAAATGTTATTATATCTACTGCAAAATTCAATAGACAAATTTATGATGATATTAAATTAATATACAAAAAATAAGGACTATATTATATTAAAATATAAAAATTAATATACATGTAAATTGGTAACACAATTTCTCCAGTTATACATGTATTTTCATTCATATATTGCAAGCAATATGGCCTTCCTTAAATATCCACTCGTAATTTACATAATTTATTATATATATATTCACTTTATTTTAAATAAAATAAAATATTAATATTGTATTATAAAGAAAGTGAATGTAAATATAATTATTTTGTTTTACATTTATTGTAGTAGGAAATTTATTAATTTATATTTTATTTAATTATGTAAACAATTTTCTTATACTTTTTAATACATATGCTTTTTGACAACTTGTGTGGTGAAATTAAATCTAAAAAAATTCATAAAAAATAATATTCATGAAATAATATATAAATATCATTAAATAACCTAATGCATGTATGAATTTATACATTAATATTGATGCATTTGCAAAAAATATGATTCCCGCAGACATAAAAATAAATTTGTACACACACACAATGACAAATTTTATATATTTATCTTACACTTCTATCTCTACTGTCAAAATATTAGAAGAAAGACCTGTTTATTAAGGGGAATATAGCTTTTTCTATGAATTTAATGAATGACAAATTATGAATTAATTGAATAAGATAATGTGTACATTTTTTTATTATCATATTACTTTTAACATTTACCATATAATGAGACAAACATATTTTATATAATACTTCTATTATACAGAGAAATATAAGATATTTGTTTTATATAATTATTTTTCAATTAAAAATTATATGTTAAATTTTACTAATTATTATAAGTAGATATTCATATGTAATATGTTAATCTATTGAGCACTTTATTAAATGCTAAGAATGTATGTTCTTAAATATTCTTATATTACAATAGTCAAAATAAATAATTAGAATTTATAAAACATAAAGCGTACAAATGTATCAAATAAATTAATGATGTTTTACATATATGCCAAGAATATTTATAAGAGATAAATTTTTGCAAAACTTTATATTTAACAATGTGCCACGGGCATTGTTATTAAGTGTAGATAAAAATATAATTAGTATAGAATACATTTTTTATTCTGTTGATCATGAAAATAATATTTGAATAATGTTAATTGTTGCATAATAAGATGAAAACAATTTTATACACTTTCATATATGAATTTATACTAATATGAATAAATCAATATATATAGCACAGTGTATTTATAATATAAAATTTTACTATAAAATAAATATACTACATTTTATATTTATAAGAAATGTGTTAACAGTATTATCGGAAAAATATGTAACTTTATATGTATGTATGAATTTAAATTATTATTATATATATGATACTAAAAAATAACATGAAAGAAAAACAGTATAATATATATTTTTGTTCATTATGTTTATTTATGCAAATGTAAACTAATACATGGAATAAATATATTTAATCTGGGATACAGACCTTTTTTACCGTATAATAAATAGTGTCCCCTTGTAGCATATGTTTATCCAATTTTTCAAACATATTATATATTTATATTCAGAGTGACAATCAATATATTTTAATTACATGCTGCTTTCCTTTAATTTAAAGCTTTGGTGTAGTTATGAAAATAATTTTTTTATAATTTTTCTTTTATACATATATTTATATATGTTTTACGCTATTTTTTTATTGCCAATTCATTTATGTGTTAAATTATCATTTATCTCTCTTTCCTTGTATTAGCTATAATGATAACGCATTGGCAATATATTCTCATTTAACATGTATAATTTCCTACTTAACATCTATATTTTATATAAGTATTGGCCTATTATACTGTGAACAAAAGATAAAGTATATTATATTTTTTACGATAAGATTATTTTAATATTAATTCTACATTGTCATAGAATATAAATTTTGATAAAAATAATATACGTCTATTTTTCCATATTCTTATTAATTATATGTCCATTAGAGAATGTAAAAATAACGAAATTAATAAATATTGTCTTGCATTTAATGATAATGGAATTTTGAAATATATTTAATTGTTATATAAAAAAATGATAATATATATAATTTTTCTCCTAATATATTTTTTATAATTGGTGCTTCTTTTTTAAATTTTATTGACATAAAAATTTCAGAATCTATAATATGGAAAAGAAAACTAAAAAATATATATATGTGTTATTTAATAATATGTCTTCCTGTTACATATGATGAAAAATTTTAAATAATTTTTTTAATATTATAAATATATAAATGCTACTTTTTGCCACAACTACAACGTATATAATAAAAATATACCATTCGTTTCTTTTTAGGAATAATTTATAAAAAAACTATTATTTTTTCAAATAGGAAGGATCAAGATATACTAAACACATAATGTGTAAAAAATATAATAGAGGTATATAAATGTATTTATTTCATCAACTGTAAAAAATTTTTTATAACATATATTATACATAGATATAGTGCTATTTTAAATATTATTAAAAATTGTTTATTCATGATTTATTATAATTGTATTATATATGTATTGCTTTTAATTAAATTTTTAATATACTATAAATCAAGTGTTTCATAATGTATATTTACAGAAAATCATTTTTATTATATCTTATATGAATATATATATATATATATATATTTATTTATTTAAAATTGAGTTATTTAATAAATATTTTTAAATAAGGTTATTTCTTAGTAGTATGCATATGCATTTCAGTAATTTCCATAAATATAGGACCTGTAGGTTGTTAATTATTTTCCCCATAATTCCATAAATATTTAAAAATATACATTTTTTTGTTAATAATTTTCTTTATGCTCAGTACATGATTTCATATAATACTACTAAATAACAATATCATATTTGTGCAATATTCCATGTATATATATTACACAGTGAGAAAATCCCATTAATTACACTTTTTATAATATTATTGAAGGTGAAATATTGATTGTGACATATGTATGTTATATTTTTTATTTTATTAAATATATTAAAATATTTTAATTAAATGTTTAACTACCATCTATCTATTTTTTTTGTAATTGCGTCTATTAGTTAAACATATATATATAATCTATTATTAGAATAAACAATGCTGCAGTAGTAAGCGCGTCAAAAGTATATATTTCTTTTTATATTTTATAAAGACACATATTTATTTCCAATTTAACCTCCATATATATATTTATGCTAATAGGATTCAAATTGATGATATACTTATCACATAATATTTATTTAATAATTAATAAAAAAAAAAAACTATATATATACATTATCCATATCGCTACTATTAAAATTTTTCACAATTTATGTGTGAATATATTATGATTTTAAAAGAAAATAATATATATGCATTCAATATAAAGTATATACTTATATAAAATATTTGTATACTATTATAAATTAGTTTTATAATTTTTAATATTATATGAATCTCTCAAACGTATTAATATATATATGTATACTTATATATATATAAACGTATGCAATTTAAAATACATAATAACACATACTAAGTACGTCATATACATAATATAGGTATTAATTGAATAATTATTTACATTATATAAATATGATGTAAATGCTACCTACATAATATAAAAAATATATATATTCCAGTGATTCAAAAAATTGAATAATGCATACTTATAACAAAGTGTGATTGGATTTTATTCCATTATGTTCTAATATAGTGAAATTGTTTTAATCTTGAATATTCCTTGTAATACTTATCAGAATCATTAGGATATTAACATATACGTTATAGAAGGAAAAATTATTTTATTTAATTAGAATTCACAATTTATTCTTATTTTTAAATTAATTGATACAATATGCCTTCAATCAAAATACAGTATTATATTTTTTCGAACAATATATTT